GAACCCAACTTTGTTGGGAATTTTTACTCACTGCTTCCCATCTACACGAGAGGCAGTTTCTTCATATTTTAATGCTTCAATATATATATATATATGTGTGTTATCTATTTGCCAGCCGTATGTATTTTTCCACAACCACTATGGATACTACCTGCAGCACTCCAGCACTCCAGCATCCAATGTGCTCGAGCATGGTTTACAGCCTGTCTGAAGGCGGCTTTGCTTTCTTTGTTCGCATTTATGAGGCAGTGACCACACGGGCAGAGGATGCTACCTTATTAAGCATTATAATTTGTTGGACTTAAACTTGCATTAGTACACTTCATCTATTACGTAAGTATGACAATTAAGGTCGCAGAAGACTCAAAACTCATGCTATACATTAATTAATTTTATTAAATATGATATTCAATAACATCCAACTCTCTTCATAATTTTTTTTTTTTCTATACTAACTCTCTTCATAGTTCACATTTTGTCAAACGGTATATATATGTTCCAAGTATTCATTCCTTAAATCATGCAATCGACAACAAATGAAGTGACACATATTATATTTAATCTACATATTTTTTGTTTAATTGGTGGATATGAGATTAATTTGTCTACTTAACATTTATATTGTTTTTGTTGCTGATGAGTTTGATATATTAAAATTAGAAGAAAAATGTATATTAAAAAGTTCATTTCATTTTCATACCATTATAATCCGTGAGGTGGAGTGGTTACACCTGAGATTATAGGGCATGACCTTTGACCCCACGAGAATGGGATCAATCAGAGGACTTTGGACTCAGCTTAGGATGGAATTAGTTAGGGGGAGCAAGCGAGGGACCGAAAGTCCCTAGACTCCCGTGAAATGCAAGGTTCCTGAGCCCATCTAGATAAATGGGCATGATAGGTTCTTCTCGGCCCGTCACAATAGTTAATATCAAACAAGGTGAAGTTATTGTCATTCTCTCTCGAAATAGTTAATATCACATTTTTTTATTATAATTATTTATTATAAATTTAAATTATATTTTTTAAAATTTATATTTTTATATCTTAGTAAATTAAATGATATAATAATCAATTAAATTGAAGTATTATAATTTGTACATATTTACTAGGAAAAAGAAAAAAAAAAAAAAAAGGACTTTGGATTAGATCACAAAGAGAATCTTTTTCAATTTGAATTGGCAACCAGTTCGAGCATGAAGTTACCAAATTTGTTACATTCTCTTAACATTTTTCTTGTCGTTCATTAACGACAACTTTGCAATTTCATTCTGATCAGTCATTTCGAACGAAAAAATTATTTTTCTCTAGAGTATATGTTAGTACTTTTTAATTTGTGTCCGTCCAATTGAGCGCATCTAAGTTTTGAGTTGCTATTATTACCGCATTTTCAATTATTAATATCACATTTATTTTATGCACTTCAATACATTTAAGAATGAAAGAGGGTAAAGTTTGAGGAAAGAGTACAATACATTTTCAATTATTAATATCACATTTATTTTATACACTTCAATACATTTAATAATGAAAGAAGGTAAAGTTGAACCTGGGCCTTCGGGTCAAGAGACTCTTGCCACGCTTGTAAGGTTCATATTCCCCTCCCTCAGGTAATGGTTCGAGCCGGTCCAATGACAAAATGTTCAAAAAAAAAAAAATGAAAGAAGGTAAAGTTTGGGGAAAGAGTACCATACAAAAATATAATAATCAATTAAACTAAAATGGTGTAGAATTAATGGCCCACTGTGAGTTATTACTAGTTATAATTAAACACTAAAGCTTATTTAGATGTAGGGATGGGAAAGGAAGGAAGGAGAAGGGGAGAAAATTTTTCTATTTAGATAGCACAAAATTGGAAGGAAGGGAAAGGGAGGGGTTTTCCCTTTAGTGTAATTTCTTTTGTATTTTAATCTATTCAAGCAATAGAAGAGTAGAGAAATAGAATAATATCATTTTCCTTTGTTTTTCTCAAATTAAATATAGGATTAAATTAATTTACCCATAAGAAAATTAACAGTTCTAAAGATTAAAGATGATTATGGTCTTAACATTTAATTTAAAGTTTTCTAATCTACATACAATTAATTGCTTTAATCAAGGCAGATTCTTGCTAGATATCACTCTCTATTGAATCTATTTTCTAATCTCATCTTTGCACAAGTACTCGTGATCCCTGAATTTTACTACAAAATTAGGAGAAGTTGCTAACGAAAACAACCTCTTGACTCCCCCCCACTTTCAGCGTTCGTGCACCCAATTCACTTCTTCACCCATATAACTACGTACCCCCAATTCCCAAACTCCCATTACAAATTCATCAAATCCAGTATATATGCATCCATTTACGTAAAAATTTCTCAAAAATGGGTTTCAATCTGATTTCCAAATTTCTTCTTCTTCTTGTTCTTCATCTAAGCTTATTTAGTTTTTGTTTTGGAGCAAGAAAGCTCACTTCACTATAACAACCCCCTCCGATGTCCCTGAGTTACCATAAAGGCGTTTTGTTTACCGGATACGGCTCATTCCCTCCGGATCAAAAATCCATATATAGTTGCTGATTTTCTTCTCTCCCTAAATCCACAAAAGGAAAAAGATGGATGTTCCTTCTGAGCATCCTTTGGTTTCTAAGGGTAAGATACCGTCCAAAATTACTTGAGAAAAGCTGGTAAAAAAGATGCCCATACTGTCTTGTCGAACCAAATCACCGACGAGAACTGTTCGATTGGGAAACTTCTAAAGAAGTCCCAAATTTCCCAGTTGGCTCAGCGAGTCAACTTGGAAGTAGGTGGGCTGACCATAGTCCTCACGTCCAAGGACGTGGCGGTCGAAGGCTTTCGCTGGAGCAATTGCGGGCTCCACGGCGTGAACCCCGCTGGAAAATCGGTGTTTATTTGGGTCGGGAGCTCGGAAACTCAGCGTCCGGATCAATGCGCGTGGCCATTCCACCAACCCATCTACGGACCCCAATCGCCGCCCAACGTCGACGTGGGTATGGATGGCATGGTGGTAAATATTGCCAGCCTTTTGGCTAGAACAGTGACTAACCCGTACGGGGATGGATACTTCATTGGCTCGGCCGGCGCGGGTGTGGAGGTGGCGTCGGCTTGCATTGGCGAGTACGGTAAAGGACCATACCCAGGTTAAGCGGGCGGGAGGTCTTAGTTGATCTGTGCTCCGGTGGTAGTTATAGTGCTAATGGGATTAACGGGAGGAAGTACTTGTTGCGGGCGTTGTTCGACCCTTCTACTTCTCGGTGTTCAACGCTTGTGTAATAATACGACTTTGATTAACTTTGTGTAGATGTAAATGTAAATAAATTTCTCATACTATGTTTGTAACGTGACTTTGATTAAAATGTATTTAAATTTAAAATTATTTTTTATATCAATCAAATAAGATTGTATTTAAATTTGTTTTAAATATTTGTATTTAAAAATGTATATTTCAAAATAAAGATGGATAAAGTGTTTGTAAAGATATTTAAAAATGTATATTCAAAATATTTGTATTAGGGTTATAATATTTTGAGTTTTTTGATATAGGACTTTAAACAGGAGAGAAATAAAGATGGATAAAGTGTTTGTAAAGATATCTCAATAAAAAGAACAAATATCAATTTAATTTTAAATTTATAATAATTTAATTTATCAAAACTATCTATTTTAATAACTACTTAAACTACATATATTAAATATAT